CCAGGTTAGCGGTAAAAGCAGATTGTCAGGTCAGTGGTGGAGGCAGGTCGCCAAGTTAGTGGCGGAGACAGGTTGCCAGGTCGGCAATAGAGGCAGGTAGTCAAGTCGACGCCAAAGGTAGGTTGCCAGGTCACCAGGTCGCCAAGTCGGCGACAGAGGTAGGTTGTCAAGTCGCTAGGTCACCAAGTCGCCAGCTGGGACTCCAGCATTTTGCCTAAGGCAAGTTGTTACGTAAGTGGTTCTGGGGTGTCACCCAATTGTTCCAAAATGCCATGTGTCATGATGTCAGTGGARGGCCAAATCTGCCCTCATCAAATACATTTAAAAACCATGCTCTCCCACCTTCCCCTTATATATAACATGTACCTATTAGCCCCATTGCAGGAACAAGAATAAAAGAAAAGCTCTCTAGAAGAAATGGTATATTGTACCTCTGAAGCTGGGTAATCTTGATCGCATTGATCTCCATTGCGTGCTCATCTACAAATTAGCAATGGTATATTGTACCTCTAAAATCTTTGATCTTAAAGGGGGATAACTCTTTGTGATGCTTCACTTCTGATGCCTGTTCTGGGAGGGCAGATCATCTTCTTTTTCAATAGCAGTTCTGAAGGCAATTGTGGTCTTGCCTGGGGTTGGAAGGGAATTTCTAGATTTGAATGGCAGATTTTTTCTGATACTTTGGTGGGCCTATTGTGGATGATGCCATTAAAGACGAAGTTTGGGCCCTCTTAGTGGCTCAAGAATTGCTAGAATGAGATGTCCTTCAATCTTTGTTCCTGGAGATTCAACAAATGCATGGGCATGGAAAGTAGGATTATGTCCTTGGAGACTTGCTACTTTTCTAAATGATATTAGAAATATTAGTTATCTAGAACTCCTTTTTTGTTCTTTGAGATGGATCATCAGGGAATAGAACACTATGGCTGATAATTTAGTTAGGAGGGAAGTGGGAAGAATTTGTCCTGTAATTTCTATCACTCCATTATTTTTGAGGATGAATATTTTACATTTTTAAATACTTTGTGTACTTCATATCGTGTACACCTTCTTTTATCTTTCAATAGATATGTTATTTTCTTAAAATGACATATATTATTTCAAAAGTTTGGACATTGTAAATTTGGTGCCTCACTGATTGAGTTCCACTCCATGAATTCCACTGTATAGCCTAGTCACCAAGATTGCTTTAGCTATAAATGGCCATTTGGTAGTATTGATGAGTACTCCTTGGGTCAGTCTCTTTATGCTTAGTAAAACAAACTTTCATCTGTATTTGTTTCTTTTGTAATACATATTCTTCTATACTTGTTTATATTTTGGATTATTGATGAGTTGTTGATGCCGATAACAAACTTCTTTAGGATACTTGGACTATTACAGAATGATTCAGATGTGGTCCTCTTTATATGAACAATTTCTTTAGGAAATGATTATTTTTTTGGTGTTTGATTGCAAATGGAAATGGAAGCTATTTTGTTTATTTTCTGAGAAATTAGAGAAATAATTTATTCCTTATTGAGTATTATTTTCTGAGGAAAACATTTTGTTTCCCTTCATTATTTTAGTTGCAACCAAAATATTTTCTAGGGAAAACATTTTGTGAGGAGAACATTTAATTTGAACCGGATTGGGTCCGATCCAGTCCATTTGAATTTCAATTGGACTGGACTGGATCCGGTTTGTATGGGTTTGGCCGGATTTGGTCCAGTCCATTTGTAAATGGACCAATATTGGCAGCCCTACTCAGAAGCATGGCCTCTTAAAACGAAAGAGGTTGTTCGTGAAGAGACAAATGGGAATGGGTCCAGTGGGATCACATGAGAGCTGAGACTTCTGACCTAGAGAACTGGCACAAAAGAACAACCAATGAAAAGAAAAATAAAACAACAATCAAAGCTTGAAGTGACTAAAAGAAGAACTAGATAAAAATAGAAATGAAAGAAAAAGCTATAAACATTACTTTTCTCAGTGAATTGGCTTGATTGAAAATACTCAGGGTCTAGGTATACAAAAGTCCCTTGCACTAATGTAGTTAAGCAATTGCTCCTGCAGCTTCTGTAGCAATTCTTAAGCGGTCATCCCATGACAATGGAAAATCTTCATTTTCATGATGAATATTATGGTAAAGTGTTCCACCAGAGATGAACTCATAAATTAATAGAGGAATTTCTGTCTCTAAACAACAACCCAATAGTTTAATCACATTCCTATGATTGATTTGGGAAAGTACGATAACCTCATTAATGAATTGTTCAAGTTGACTTTCATCCACTATTTTGAATTTCTTAATTGCCACAATCCTTCCATCTGATAACATGCCTTTATAAACTGTACCTTGTCCCCCTTGACCAAGAATTCTATTCTCATTATATCGATCAGCAGCCTTTGCTAATTCTTCTGCAGTAAAAACTTTTATTTTCTCCACAATACTTTCTTTTGATGAGACTTGTTGTAATAACAAACCACCATTTCTTTTGATGAATTTTTCTTTGCGCATTTTGATTTGTCTTTTCTTCCAAATTTGATACAACCAATAACTAGCAAAAAGCAACACCATACCTAAAGCTATACCTGCATAGTAATGGAGCTTTAGTCTGAGTAAAAACAGAAAAATAAAATAAATGCAAATGGTAAATACTAAATAAATAAAAAGCTACATAAGTTTTGATTTTTTTTTTTTTGTTTTTTTGCTTCTAATGACCATAAAGGAGTCTCCCTATAACTCACACCCTATCTGTCATTTTTCAATTCTGTTCTTGTTGATTGAATTGGTTAAGTTTTATATTACAAAAGTAAAAGTTAAAAATTTAAATGATTAATAATAATTGCAAAAAATATTAATACAAGGTGGGACACATAATTGGCATAAATTGGGAAACTGCTTCCAATCCAATTGCCCCCTATCTAATTAAATCTGTTAATCATCTAGTCCAATCCTATAGGACCTATCCGACTCTATTACAGAGGTTCTTGGTCTGAACACTGAGTCCTGATTATAAATAGGGTCGAATTTGGGTCTTCATTTGAAGCTTTGATTATAATAGTTTCATGAGTCAAAGTAAATCCCAAAGGAAATGTTATTCAGAATTTGGGCTCCATACATTTCTTCCAAGGAAGATAATACTGTAGAAGACATAATGAACTAAAGGTGTGACAGATAAAAGCCAAAAGATTTCTAAAGGTTATGTCTTGTTGTAATATTAAGTAGTGATAAAGAGGAGGGGTTTGATGATAAATGGCAGTCAATTCATTGATTTTTATCATTTCTTCCTATAGCTGTGAATGGGTCAGGTCTGGCCTAGAATAGGGTGAAACCAGTTCAGAACCAAACTCTATTAGTTCTGTAAAATCAGACACAACCAAACGAATTATTAATCTCAATAATTGTGTCCGATGTGGCTCGATTAGACCCACTATACTCGAAACTTATAATTACCTGAAACATAACAACTTAAAATTTTATTTTTGATATATCTATATTTATACTGTATATAGATACTATTGCCTTGCTTGTAATAGATTTGCAAATGGATTTGGTCAAGGGTATATCCAAACTTTTAAGAGCATGATTTGGATTCGAATTCGAACATCTTATCTGATCTGATTTGATTAAACACGTAGTTAAAAATCTTGATAATATAATATAAATAATACATTATATTATATATATAATATATTATATATAACATATATTATATAAATATTATATAGAATATACATATATAATATAATATGTAAATAATATATATTATATAATATTTCATAACTAACAGATCGGATTGGATTGGGCTACTTCTGAATTCAATCTGTTAACTAATTGGATCAACTTTTCTGATCTGACCCAATTTGCTAGGATCCCGGGAGGTATTTGAATCTGGCTCATACGGGATGAATTCAGATTTAAATGGGATCTGATCTAAGTAATTTGTAACTCTAGGTTGTAATGCAGGTTATAAAAGTTAAATCAAAGTATATATTGTATAACTTTGTTCATGTTACACTAGTAAACATAATAAAAATACAGTAAATTATAATCTGTTTATAGGCTGATAGAACAAGTATATTTCAGCTAAAACTATCGTATATACTGTCTACAAAATATAACCCTTTAATACATGAAGAAGAATTACAAGAAAACCATGGGGCTTCTATATAATTTCGATTACTTAATTATTAGTTTGGAACGGCAAAAACTGGTTTCAACCCAATTACGATCCGGAAACTGGTTTCCCCTATCGCTGTCAGTCTCCTTGGATTCTTTTTCTATTTCTTTTCAAGCTGTTTATTATGGGCCGACAACAGTAGAATCTTGAGGGGATTGGAATTGATGATTAGTTATTTGAGATTGGACAAATAATGGAATTGACAACTGAGTTTGGGGGACTGGTGGATGTGGCGATTTCCGAATTACATTGAAGACAATATACATATTACGTGTAGATTTAAAGTTAAGTATTACCTATGGAGACTTGAATCACCCGAAGTTTTGTCTGTGAAGGTGGAAGAGGAACGCAACCACCGTTTCTTCTTACGTCCCATTCTGTACCAGGTGGGCAAGAACAATTGTAACTCCCAGGCGTATTTATGCAAATCGTTGACGACAAGCAGTCATTCTTGGTTGGATCGGAGCATTCATTTATATCTGAAAACACAATATGAAAATAAAACGGGTTAGATCAAATAATAACGATCAAATTTTTAGAACGACTTTTTTTTTTTTTCCTGTGTAGAATTTAAGGAGACTGATGGTGAAGAGGAAGGTGATGAATTTAATATTACGTACCTTGGCATCCATCTTCGAGATAAGGATTGCCTTGATAGCCTTTCAGACATCTGCAGAGATATCCGATACCGTCTGGAGACTTGTAGCAGTCGGAGTTGTTGCCACATGCATAAGTAGTCGCGTTTCTCATTGTAACATTCTCGCAGGATTCGTTCTCTATTGACCAGACGTATACAGTGGGAACTCTCGCATCGTTTCTATTATAGAAATCAAAGCTGAAGGTGTCCGCCCCGGAGAAGTTGTGCCAGTCTTTGTCAGCGATGAAAGTGTATCTGCATAGATTGTAATCCTGTCTAATGCCTTCTGTGACATCCAACTTCATAAAAAAAACATCTTCACTCCTTTGGGGATGGTGGTCTGGCAATAATCCTTCTTGTCACTTAACGCGGGTTCTCCAAAGTAGCAAGAGGGATTGGAACATCCATTCTGAATGGTATCATGCGTATACCATTCTCCACTTCCATAACCGAAGATATATCAATATAAGCTCGATTGTCGCAACCGATAGACGTGAACATGTTGCCGGTTTCGGAAAAAGCGTAGGGCGTATCCTTCATGTCCATGTGGATTATGGACGTCTTACGGCCAGCAGAAAACGAAGAGTTATCGCATGTGTAGCTAATGAATGAAAAGGCTTGGAACTGGCCTTGTAATGTTATTTCTTTAACTTGCACTACTTTATCAGACTTGTTATAACCTTTGTTTGGGTCACCTGTGCCTTCCCCAATCAAAATCTTTTGCAAAAACAATTTGGGAGGGGTGAAACTGTGGTTGCATATCAGCCGGAAAACATCGTCTCTGTAACAGCTTGAGTCGTCTCCAAAGCCGAACCGGTAGGGAACGGTGATGTTCCCGCATTCGTCTGGGCAGCCTGGAGCCATGGTTGGTGATGAGATCGCAGTTGCTATGCAGAGACTCCACAATAACGGCAACCACTGGAGTAGGAGCTGATGAAACAGCAGCATAACCCCAGCTACAGCCATTGTTAACCTTCTATACTTGATGGGGGGATGTTCCTTTTCCCCCTCCTCCACAGTCCACCCGTATATATCCGGATTTGCATCTCGACAGTGTGCCGACCCCTCACAGCAGCCGCACGTTGAGAACATCTCCCATTCTTGTATGTGATGATTTGGGAGATATTCCCAATACATTGTTGAGATGTGTTGCGAGGTTGACGTGAGAAGCGCTCTCTGAGGGCATTTTAATTGAAGGCCCAGAAAGGTATCCCAATGCACACACGACTTTAAGCATGTTAAATAAAGAGGCCCAGAAAGGTATCCCGAGACGGATTGTCAGATCGGATCTGCTCCTCCTCATACAGTGTGTCTCACTCTGATCTCACAAACAAGTACGAGATGTTTTAGATGCATATTCGAAACATGCCGTGAGGTTGATGTGAGACGCGTTTCAGTGAGGAACAGATCCGAACTCATCTCCAGATCGATCCATCAGTCAGGTCAAGTCAACAGGGAAAGATTTTTTTTTTCTTTTTTTTAAGTATTGTCATTATTTTCATATTTAATCAATCTTATCTTTTCTACATGTTTTTTAATTAAAATTTATCTACTTTTTATTTTGACTACAATAATTACTTACACATTAAAAAGCATTTCTATGGCACACAATTTCGTCCATAGTGTAGTAGGTACTGGCGTACTGCAAAACCACTCTTATTTGCTACAAAATTTGCACGTTGGGGCTGTATCATATCTTTGCATTTTCATCCTTCTTTTCAAATTGAGTCTTTCCAAACTAAGACTTGATAACAAATCAAATCTAATTTTATTCTCTAAATGAAAAATTCATTAAATTAAAACATTATATGGGTGTGGATATAGGTCCTTTTTTTTCAAATAAAGTAAATTATTTATTTACATATTAAACCAAATTTAATTATTTAAATAAGATAGAAAACTGAATCTGAATACTT